ATTCCTGAATGGTACTATCTGAAAGTTTAAAAAGGAAAGAGGATGGTCTTCTAATGGTATTTATCCAGACACAACTTTCTGATACAGATAACTAACGAACTGTAAACCTCACTTTTTGGAGAAGAATCAGTATAATCATCTCATACTCTTAAAGAGCTTCTTTTTATGTAAGTTTCTAACACTGAGTAAGCTCTTATGAATTTTCTTTATCTCTTACCCACTCAGAAGCAATTTTGAACACTAATGAAGTATTTTTATGTAATATGATATATATGTGTATATATATCTGGATATACATTATATATTGGGATATATATATTATATTTGGATAACAGAGTGAGACAGAGAAGCAGAGACAGAGAAAGAGAGAAAGGGCTTTTTAAGAAATGATTCTACAGCAAAAAAATGTGCTTTTACAACTGCATTAATAGCGTTCATACTGTTAGTTACTGTGGCTGGTTTTTCTCCTGGGAAAGTATTCATTAGCTTTACCTTCTAAATAATGCACAGTGGGTACTTGTATCATCTTTTCTAAAACAACTGATTACGGACAAACATAAGGCAATGAATAACTGAAGGCTATTAAAAGATTGTTTCTCCTCCCCCTTTCTTTCTCTGGCCATTGACAGCATGAAGAATAATTCAATTCAGTTATATTGTAGCAGTATTTTTTTTCATGGCATACTGTACATATTTCAGGGCCATAATCTTTTATTGTGGCTGAGATGCATGGTCATTTGCCCACTGTTCTTCCACAAAGCATTCCTTCAAATGAGAAAACTTATTGAAATGCAATGCCAACAAGCATAATCAATAGTTCATTACATTTATGCTTCAGGGACATCCAAAGAAAAATGTACATAAATATGTTTCTGTACAAATATTCTGTTATGCAGTGAATTAAGGATAAACTAAACTGTACAAAATCATTCTTTTGTGTTGCCCTTTACTCCACTAGAGGGTAGTGTTAGCAAAAAGAATCATACCCTCTTCGATCCTCTAGTCAATTCTAGCAATGAAACCCATAATAGTTTGCCTCCTGTGGTAATATTTGTTGTTCTGTACACTAGTTCTATGCTTCCAAAGAGAACTTTTCTCCACTTCTCATCTTGAATAGTGCCAGGCTTCTCTTCAAAATAATTTTATTTCTATTTATTTAATTCTTTATCAGTAAAAACCTTGCAATTTCTTTTCATGGAGAGTAAATAACTGTACCTGAAGGCATAGTTAGCTAGCAGGAAAAATAAAAGAGTTTCTTTAAAACTAAATTGAAATCTAAAATAATCACAAAGCAGTTCTACTCTTGCACACCACAAAGTGGACGTAAGAAATCGGCAGGAGAGGGAAGATAGGCACTTGGGAGTAAAGTTGCAAATGTGTAAGCTTAATAAAGAGAAAGAGATGACACAGTATTTGTCACCAAATCATGATAAAAATGGCTCTGAGCATGAGAGAGATTCCCTACAGTAAGTCTTAGCTGCTTATAGCTTGATCCCCATTTTAGAAATGATGACACTAAAGCCAACACCAGCCCCATCCTCCTCATGCCAATGCACACTCTCTGATGGACTAAGTCAGCAAGCAGAATGGCCTCCCTTGCCTCTGCAGTGCTACCTCAGTTAGCATGCCCCATGTCCAGGCTTTAGGCTGTCCTGCCTTCTGAAATCTATTTTTTTATTATTTTATTTTATTTTTTAGTTTAAGGAAGGGTCTATAGGGTGTTCAGGATCTCACTACTACACCAGACTCATAGTGATCTGCCTGTTTACAGCCTCCCAAAAGCTGGGATTACAGGCGCGTGCCACCACGCCCAGTCTCAATTGTTGTCTTAGTGCACCCTGGGGGCAGGGCTGGCATGGCAGGCCTGGGGATCGAACATCTGGCCCCTGTACCTGCTTGCAGGTGCTTTAATCCGCTGAGATATTTGGCTGGGCCAAGATTGAGAAGCACTTTTTTTTTTTGGCTGGCTCAGGCTGCCTTAAGGGCGGGTCTAGTAAGGCATGTGGAGCTGGGTATGGAACTGCCTTATCCTGCACCTGACTGCATTTCCACGAGCAAGCACTTAAATAATTGAGCTAACTGGCAGCCCCCTCACCACCCCAAAAATCTCTTAAGGCTTATGTAACTGATGTGTTCTCCACTTAGTGGACCACACGGCTGATCTACTAAATTGCCTG